ATACGATGCAGCGCTTTTGGGTGCACTTTTGGATTGCGCCGCATGGTCTTAGGAATCACCAAGTCCCCGATCTGCTCTCCACAACCTCCGTGCAGGCCAGTCCTCCACGGATTCGGAGCTTGCCCCTGCGAAGAAGGCTGTTGCAAAAGCTATCAGCGCTGGCGCGCCCCGACTTCTAGCGGTGAAGTTTTTTGCGGTGGACTACTTGTTGATCGGGTCAAACTATATCGGTTTGTTTTGAATGCCATTGGAAATCAGGTGCCCTATCGTATTGCCTGCATGCTTGCCAAAGGTTTTCTAGATGAACACGACGCTGCTGGTGGTTCCAGAGGTCTGCAAAGTCAAGGTCTTTTGGACGACACGCGCAGACTCAACAAGACTGGAAAGGAAAGCAACAAAGCCCTTTTAGACAAGCATGGTCTAGCTGAGTGCCAGATCTCCTATGTGAACATAGGGTTGAAAGCCCCTCACCCAGTTCTTCGTGTAGACCACTTTCTGAGAATGTTGACCAAGTCAAACACGCTGCATGCGTTGACTGGTGGGAAGGACTTCTTTAAGTCATGTTCTTTGTTTTGGGAGCGGTTTCGAGATTCAGAACCAGCGCACCCGGTTTACAGCCAACACCCAGACCGCCAAGCAGAACCCGTTCATGCTAGTCTCCTATCAACCTTGCATCGGGCGAGGGACCTCGTGGAGTCAAGAACGCGTCCAAGAGGAGCTCGAGCTGTCCACGAACCTCATGGGCAATTCTCTCGTTACTAGATGCCTCTACACCTGCATGAGAAGCGACCTCTATGCCACCAATCCCACCTGCTTTAATTCACTGATGGAAATTTTCAGTTTGGAACTGAAGAGTTGTTTTGTGGAGGGGGTTGTTGTAGAACAAGATGACTCTTCGGATTGCAGGATCTATCCAACTGTGATTTTTGCTAAAGGCGATTGGCCTATGCTGCGGAAGATGGGATTCCTTGAGCGACACCATGGTCGGAGTTTAGCGCAAGACAACCGTGGGAAGGGGATTTGCCACCTTTGCATGGCCGGAGTTGGTGATCTTTGTGATTGGCACGATTCTTTTTCCGGGTCATGGTTGGGAACAGATTCTGTCGCTGGGGGTTTGGTGCCACCTTGGAATCGAGAGAGTCCTGTTACAAGGTTGATGCCCCAGTCACCGAACCTGGAAGATCGTGTTTGGTTCTATCGACCTGATCTGTTTCATACATTGCACAAAGGGCTGCTTGCAGAGCTTGCGGGATCAGCAATAGCACTTTGGTTGTTCAATAGTTCGCTCTTTTTTTCCACAGCTTCCTGTTAGGAAAACATGTATATAAGTTAAGAGTTGAATATTCGGGGCCTAACTTGTGCCACTGTACAGGTAGTGCTACTGGACTTAAACCTCGACGGGGTACATGGTGGTAATGTTCCAGCACGGCTACATGGCCTGTTTGAAGAGCTCGCAGCATTTTGCAAGCGGCGTAAACTCTCCCTACACATGTCCGACTTGACCCGGAACATTTTGAACTTTGAGCGCCACTGTGACTTTCCGACAGGGACCCTTGGTCATCCTTAAGGGGAAAGCTTGTGTGATACTGCTAGCCACCGGAGTTCTCTTTTGTTTAGGTTCAGGTTTTTTCTGGGCCTTTCTATCTAAGGGGATGGTACAAAGGTGCTGACACACATGCGGCGTGTGTATGGCTTGAGAGCAAGTACCAGAATGTGATGGAGAACGTGAGTCCTCACCTTGCTGAGTATGTGGGTGCAATCCACAAAGCTCTTTTTCATGGGAATGAATTCATGCGAAGGGTGTACAGGGCCCACCTTTTCATGAGGCGACCTGAAGCTAGGCACATTGCCGAGCATGGAAGAGCCCTCATGCGTGAATACATTTCATGTGCTGAGAAGGCTTTCGACCTTCAATTTTGCAGATTCAAGTACGCACCAAAGTTACATATCTTTGGATATATGGTCCTGAAGCTGGAAAAATCCATTCAGGCCCAAACTTGGATCATGACCCCCATCGCATACAGCTGCCAACTTGACGAGGACATGGTAGGGAGGATCTCTACCCTATCTAAGTCATGCTGCTTGAAAACGGTGCATGAAAGCACCATTCGAAAATATCTGGTCAGTGTTCGTCTGAACATACGATCCTGAAGGGGATTGAGTGCAGACGAGTGGCACGAGCGGGGGGCACCGGACGTGCCGTCTGAGAAAAATCCAGCGAGGCGGCGAGGTCGAGCGAAGAGTGCGCGCAACCCCTCGATCGATACCTTTCGAAACGCCACCTGAATGTTTCATCTTCCCGCGTTTGCGAGTTCGGTTTCATTCTCTCCAAAACAAGCACGAATATGGACACATAGACAGATATACATATAGTTTTTTTTACAATATTTAGATAGACATATTTTTAGGGGCGGAAGGCTCAAGCACCAGGTGTACCTGCGCACCACAAACTCCAAGATATCAGCCCTGATCATCCAAACGGTCAATTGACATCGCCGACCGTTTGCTCGGAGCACCTTTGGCCAAAACTATACGCATATAGTTTTGGCTTTTGCTTCGCGAAGTACCGCAGGGCGTTGGTCGCGGAGGGTATGTTTTAGCAAACTGCCTGATCAGGGCAGCGCTATGTTGCAGGGATTCACAGTGAATCTTGTATGCGACACTACAGCTAAACAAAAAGCAGCAAAACAATGAAGTGGCACTTTTGCTACGGTGGCGCTTTTGGGGGTGTAAAGGTGCAACCGCGGAGAGTGCTAGTTATTTCCTGCATCAAGGATCTCCAGGCAAGGCCTACAGTGGCCTTTTGGCCTGGGATGGCGTACATCATGTCCAGCAAGACAGCGCATTGGAGGAGCCTCGCCAACTATGCCATGACAACCTCTCCGCGGCAAGGCGTGATGTGGTCAACAAGCAGACTCAGGAGCAGCGCCAGCAGCAAGGCAAGGGCAAGCGCAAGTCCTCCACCGGAGGTGATGGAATCCCAGCTTCAAAAGCTAAGGGAGCTCCGCCACCCTCACCGGTGAGCCCACGTGCATCCGGATCGGCGTCGTCCTCGTGGGGATGGAGCTCATGGAACTGGAGCGAGTGGGGTGAGCAGCGGCAGTGGGATCGCCGCTCACAGGACTGGAGCTCGAGTCAGGGCTGGTGGCATCGGCGATAGTTGAGCCAAGTCTCAACGCTTTTGCTTGAGCGAGCATAATTCATTGCATGACATCCATTGTCAATATGTATGCGGTTTTCCTCCCAAGTCCAAACTTTCAACTTTCTTTTGACGGCGGGGAGTGAGTAATTAAAATGCACGTACAGGGCCACGTCTGGCAATGGATTGCTAGCATCCATATATGCCAAGCTGCACCGAGCCGACATCACTGTCGTGCCCTGCACTAGCCCTCTTGCACTTTCCGCGTCCAGCTTCAGTAGCAAAGCTACTTTAGCTGAGGGGGGTGTATTTTCACTCCATGTAATATGTATACTTTTACCATATAGGATGTCATTGCACATACTTCTGCAGCTCGCGGTCCAAAAAGGGTATCGTAGCTTAACGGCTGTTTCTATACGTTTACACCTCCCTGGTGCGCGGTCTTCATTGGCCAGGACGCACACCAGGGAGTCCTGGCCCCCTGCTGGTGAAAGCTCTTAGAAGCAGAGGTGGACACACACACAAACAGCCGCATAGCGGCGCGCCAAAGTTCACTGCAGTAGCTCCAATGATGAAACAACGCAGTGGACAGCTTGGGCGTTACCTAGGTTGTAAACGGACGAATATATTAGCGCTTGATTGCCGTAGCTCCTTGCAAACGAATCTGATGAAACAACGCAGTGGACAGCATTGGCCTTACTAAGGTGGCTGACACATGCATTAGCACTGTATTGCAGGAGCTCTTTAAAGATGAAACAACGCAGTAGACAGCTTTGGCTTTACTTATATAGGTTTTTTGGAGTTTGCTCACAAATGCATTAGCACTTTAAAGAGGAAACAACGCAGTAGACAGCTTTGGCATTACTTAGGTTCTAAAGGTTACTCACAGATGCATTTGTACTTTATTGCTGGAGGAGAGAACGCAGTAGACAGCTTTGGTTTTACTTAGGTTCTAAAGGTTACTCACAGATGCATTAGCACTTTATTGCTGGAAGAAACAACGCAGTAGACAGCGTTGGCATTACTTAGGTTTCAATAAGCTGGTTTTACTCTGCATAGTATGAGCGCTGGCTTGCAACCGCTCGGTGGGGGTAATGGGTCGTGCAAACGAGCCTCAAAAACGACCTAACAAACCTGAGGAAAAAACCAAGCAAACAAAAGAAAACGCAGGAGAGAAAGAGGGGAGCGTTGGTGTGATCGACGCTCGGTCGTAAGGCCGATTCTGGCACCCTCTAGACGAAAAACTTTGGCAAGGAACGGAGGTCAAGGCATGCAGTGACGTACTCAAGAGCGCATAACGAAAAATCAGTGGTAGATTACCGTAGACTCGGCAGTATTTAATCAGCTGATCCTTGCAAAGCCGGTTAATCAGTGAATGTCTCATGACACATACGCTTCGATCAGGAAAATTCAGTGGTGAGTTCAGCGCCCCAAAGGGGATCACACTGCACACCCGACACACTTAGATTCATAGCTCCAGTGAAGGAGCATAATTTCCAGTGAGTGACTCGCTGAATGACTACTTAGCAATTGACTCGGAATGAATGAAGAATTAAAATTCCGGAACAACATCAGGCACATGAACCATGAAACAAACCAAGGGACCACAGCAACCAATCAACAGTTAAAACAACAGCAGGTACGTTTACACCTCCCTGGTGCGCGGTCTTCATTGGCCAGGACGCGCGCCAGGGAGTCCTGCCCCCTGCTGGTGAAAGCTCTTAGAAGCAGAGGTGGACCCATATATATATATATATCTCTGTATTTGTATTTGTATCTGTATTTGTATATGTATATACATACATCGGATCCAAAATGCCTGCTTACTTGCATTTTTCTCTGCTCGTATGAAAGACGCAAGGTGCTTCCTCCCGTTGCCCAATCACTCAACTTGTCCCACCTGCATGTTTACTAGCTACACTCTGGAGAGAGCGTACGAGAGCTTTGCAAAGATGCAATGACCTCACAAGATGCAGACTTTGTACAGTTTTCCCTTGCTTCCCAGGTAGCAAGTGAGAAAAGTGCACCTGTGCCTGTGGGTGGCGCCTCCAGCTCCTGGAGTGTAATGGGAATATATCTCGGCCAAGGGCTCACGAAGGGCTCAGAAATGCAGACATTGTCTACAAGCAGTCACACGTGACATTGTAAGGCTCTTGGCTCTTGTAACTAGTGCAACTCTTGTTCAAACTCTTACTCTTCTTTTGTTCCTCTCCGTGCAGTTCCAAAGTCCTGTTAGCTTGTTGCAGAGGCGTCGTTTACACTATTGGGCGCTTGCTTCGGGGTGTTTTTCAGGACACGGCCAAATATCATCATCAAGTCCTTGTCAAAAGACGAAGACAATAGACACGTTCTTGTTGTCAGCGTGCAAATTTGTTATGGTTGGTCTGACAGGACTCATCCAAGCGGGTGATCTATGAGGCCAGAGGGACGATTACAGTCAACATTTAAAGGGTTTTCTGAGGAGTGAGCAACACATACAGTATTTGGCGGTGTGTGTGTGTCCACTCCTGTTTCCAAGGACACTACCCTAACTCTTTCTAACCTACCCTACGATTTTTCTGACCAATGTACAGCAGCAGGGGGACTGGAGCCGATTTGCCTATCCAGTCCAACGAAGCTGTGGCATTTTGGTGGATGAGTGGTCTCATCAACCACTTGTACCTGCGTAATTTTTAACTCGATATGTTCAAACCTTCCTGTTGACTGACTTTGCACTTCTTTTCAGTCAAGGTCTAATTTGCAGTAACTCTAAAGGGCTAATGCACACCGCGAAGCAGCCTGAAATCGCGCTCCACGGAGCAACCTTCTCAAGTGTGTCTCCGCAGCTTCTTCCCACTGTGGTAAGCTGTGTGATCCCTACGGGGCGCCGTTACTGCAAGAAACTTTCCACTCCTCATCGCAGGGGTAAGCTTCCTGAAGTTTTTCTGAATTTTCCATCGAATTTCATTGCTCGAAATCAGCTTGAATTGTTTCACCCAGCACACGTGAATTTTACTGCAGAGTTCACTGAATTTCCTTCTGAAATGTACTGCAGAGTCAGACTGTAACAGTTTCACCCGGGAATTCTTTCCTTTCCTTTCAATTTTTCAAGTCTAATCCCATTTCAAGATTTTAATTGAAGTCCATTGCACACTCCTCCTCTTTGCAGCGACCAGTTTTTACAACCTACAGTTTCACTTATTCAAGTTCAAGGGCTGATTTGATTCACCTCTATTTACATTTACATCGACTTTATTCGACTTGCCGAGCAGCCATGACGTATCCCTGGCCGTATTCACTACCAACACATCTACAGCAGCAACCACAGCCCACACAACCACACTGGTTTCCATACCCATCACATACTCCACCGCAACCATATCCAACATTGCCACCAGTTCCACCGCATCATCCAATCCCACATGGTTTTCCATTTCCCACACCACCTCCACTTCATGCCCAATACATGCAGCCACCTCCATTACAGGCACATTTTCCAGTACAACCTACCGCTCCTCTTGACAGTCCCCAACATCCGCTACAGCATCCACTTCATGCGACACAGCCAATCCAATCCCATGTCCACACACATCCCACATTGCTACCTCAACCTCAACCACCACAACCACATCAACCACATCCACCACACACGACAAGCCACTCACCACCCACACCATTACCACAACCACCTCCTCCAACAACTGATCCATCACACGCCACCAATACAGCAGTGACCGCTCCATCACAGCCTACCACACAGCCTACCGCACCGGCTCCACCACCACCACCACCACCACCACCACCACCACCACCACCACCACC